ATCATTTTCTATTTTGTGCCTCTATCACACACAATTTTCTTGTTAGTCTAACGATTATAGAGGTAATCACCCCCAAAGAAACACAATATGATGTCTTGTCTCTGTAAGCTAATTGAGATTAGAAAAAGTGTTTTATTGGTATTTAAATATCAAGCAACTAAAATAACGAATGTCTGTGGAAAAGTGAGTCAAGCCATATATGTGTTATTGACGTCCCGTTCTCTAGAGGTATTTCCACAGAAGCTGAGTACATTGCCTCCTATATATTAAAGTAATGAAGAGCTCATCTTTGGAGCCTGACTATGCAGATGTATACCCTGGCATTTTCTCTTCCTTGTTATGTTCTTGAACAAATTTAGCCTTGCATCTCAATTTCCTCATCTATAAAATGAGGAGAGTAATAATACATAGAATTGCTTTGAAGATTAAATGATTGTATGTGAAGACCATTAGGAGTAGTAATTGATGGTGTGAGTTCTAAATACAAGCTTGCTATTTCCCAGAGGCACTGGAGATGGAATTTCTGCCTGTGTGGGCCATTTCGTTTCATATTTGGCAAGAATCTTAGAAACCATTAAGTGTATGTTTATATGAAAAATTTTTGGCTTGGGTGAACTTCTAACCTTTTAATTGTTTATTGTCACGAAACAGTTCTGTGGAAATGAGCAAATGTCTATTTGAAGTTCATGGCTGACCATTACAACTGCATGACTGCACTAGCTCTGGTTTAAAGGACAGGAGACGTTCGGTGTGGCAAAAGCTGAGAAAAGTATTTCTCATTTCCTTGTGAGATTATATATAACATAGTAGAGTGAAAAACATAGGGTGACATAATACATAAATAACTTCAACATTTAATATGCAAACTGAATTATAGAAGGCAAGGGCTAAAGAATACTTTTTCGAACTTTGATATGGAAATGATACATATTTTAAGCTAAGTTATCCTTATTTATGGAAAACAATGTGTGGAGAAATACACCACTATGGTTTTCTTTCTCTTTCTTTCTCTCTTTCTTTTTCTTTCTTTCTTTCTTTTTTTCTTTCTTTCTTTCTTTATTTCTCTCTCTCTTTCTTTTTTTCTTTCTTTTTTTCCTCTCTCTCTCTCTTTGAGGGAGTCTCTCTCTGTTGCCCAAGTGCAGTGGCGTGATCTTGGCTCACTGCAACCTTCACCTTCTAGGTTCAAGCTCTTCTGTCTCAGCCTCCCAAGTAGCTGGGATTACAGGCACATGCCACCACGCCCTGCTAATTTTTATATTTTTGGTAGAGATGGGGTTTCGTCATGTTGGCCAGGCTGGTCTTGAATTCTTGACCTCAAGTTGTCTGCCCTCCTCGGACTCCCAAAGTGCTGGGATTACAGGCATGAGCCACTGTGCCCTGCCACCTCCATGAACTTCTGTATTTCCCATGACGCAGACTGGGATAGAATCACCTTTAATTTCATTCAAATAGGAACCGTGTTACTTAAAACATATTACATCTTGTTAAAACCTTCTCTGTGATAGGAAACCATCTTCACCATCTGGTGATCCCACCCCACCCCTGGAGGAACACTCAACTGTGATGTGCAGAAAATACATGGGGAGGAAGTGGCAGGGCTTCTTATGAAACATACCAAGCATCTTTCTGTTCCTTTCCCACTCCAGAGATGGTTTAATTAGAGTAACTCAGATATCTTGGTTTCTATTATGTGGACACACGGAAGAGACTCTGGAGCTAGTGTCCACATGCTCTGTAGGAGCACGTGGAGCCCAGTGACAGTCCCTGTCTCACCTACAAGGCAGCAGTGGGCGCGACTTCTGTGGCAATGCTCCTTGCTTCCTCCCTTTCCCTCTCTCCCTTAGTATCAGAGTAAAGGTGATGTTCTAAAGGAGAAGGCGTGGCTGCAGGGTCTTTCTGAGGGAACCAGAGACTCTCTGCATGTCAATACTAATTAGATAAAACCAACTCTGGAAGAGAGAAATGCCTGATGTGTCTGAAGCGTAGCCTTTCCAGGGTTGTGGGCCAGAGTGATCAGTGTTGCAAGCAGGAGAACACAAGACGGAAGGCATCTTGACCTCCTTAGCAGGAGCCAATAAAAGCTCCATAGCAGGCTGAGCATAGTGGACCACGCCAGTAATCACAGCACTTTGGCAAGCCGAGGCAGGCAGATAACCTGAGGTCAGGAGTTCAAGACCAGCCTGGCTAACATGATAAAACCCCGTCTCTACTAAAAATACGAAAAATTAGCTGGGTGTGGTGGCAGGAGCCTGTAGTCCCAGTTATTCGGGAGACTGAGGCAGGAGAATTTCCAGAACCTGGGAGGTGAAGGTTGCAGTGAGCCAAGATGGCACCATTGCACTCCTGCCTGGGTGAAAGAGCAAGACTCCATCTCAAAAAAAAAAAAAAAAAAAAAAAAAAAAGATCCTTAGCAATTTGCTTATCTATCCTAGTAGTACATTACAGCTTCCTAACACTTCAACACCATATTGCATTCAGGCCTCACTGTTAGAACCTTGTTCTAACTTGTGAATAAGTCAGGGCTAGTGTTGTCATGCTTATTTTGCAGACATAAAATGTGACTTGCCTAAGGTCACAAAGCTGAAAGATGTCCAAATGAAACCCACGTCTTGGTCTCTCGACTCTCAGGTTAGAGATTTCTGTACCACATTCAACTCTAAGAATGTGATGGTCTTTCTGGTTATCCCTTAAAACTTAAACACAGGCCAGGCACAGTGGGTAATGCCCATAATTCCAGCACTTTGGGAGGCTGAGGAAGGCGGATCACCTGAAGTCAGGTGTTCGAGACCAGCCTGGCCAACAGGGTGAAACCCACTCTCTACTAAAAATACAAAAATTAGCCAGTGTGGTGGTGGCAGGCACCTGTAATTACCAGCTACTCAGGAGACTGAGGCAGGAGAATTGCTTGAACCCAGGAGGCAGAGGTCGCAGTGAGCAGAGATTACACCACTACACTCCAGCCTGGGTGACAGAGCAAGACTCCGTCTTGGAAAAACCAAAACCGAAAACAAAACTTACACGCATGTGCACACTCATATATGTATTTGGCAGGTATGTGTGCATGGTGCATATATACTTTTTCATTATAAAATTCTATGTCCTCATTGCAGAAACATGGACAGGAGCATAAAGAAGAAAATGTGTCCCGCCTGATAAATACTGCTATTATTTTTGTTTGGTACCTTTTCTGCAGAATCTAGTGAAAGTTTGCTGTAAGCAGGAAGATTTCACTTGATTTCACTGAGTTAGGGTGTATTTAAGAAATAATATTAAAATGGTTTTTAGAAGTTTGGCTTTTAGTAGTGTATGGCTACATTTCCTTCCCCAGACCTACTTGGGTATACTCATTTAAATTCCTGTGTACTTGAAAGAGCTCAGAGCTTCTTCAGGGCTGAGGTTTTCACAAATTCAAAGTGCTTGCTAATTCCACCCCCATGAGACCATGGTGGTTTTTCCCTCCATCTCATCTTCTTTTTGTTTGTTTGTTTGTTTGTTTGAGATGGAATTTCACTCTTGTTACCCAGGCTGGAGTGCAATGGCGCGATCTCGGCTCACCGCAACCTCCACCTCCTCGGTTCAGGCAATTCTCCTGCCTCAACCTCCTGAGTAGCTGGGATTACAGGCACACACCACCACGCCCAGCTGATTTTTTGTATTTTTAGTAGAGACAGGGTTTCACCATGTTGACCAGGATGGTCTCGATCTCTTGACCTCGTGATCCATCTGCTTCAGCCTCCCAAAGTGCTGGGATTACAGGTGTGAGCCACCATGCCCCGCCCCTCCATCTCATCTTCTATAACATATCTGATTTCTGGCTGACCATTTACAATCTCATGAGTTCCTGCCCAGTCAACTCACTTCCTCCCCTTCCCCTTCCAAAATTATTTTTTCCACCACCTTAGTTTACTCTAATTAGAGCAAAAAGAAAGATGGTAAGAGTCATCAAAAATTTTTCTCCCACTGTTAACCAACTAACTATGTGACCATCAGTAAGTTATTTCACCTTTCTGTGTGTCAATGTTGTCATCTCTAAAATGAAGAGCTTAACTTTGATAATCTGTAATTCCTCTCAGGCTGTAGCTTTTTAGGTTTCCATTATTAAACATGTTCATGCCAGAAAGTGAGTGCCCATAATCTGGATCTTGCAGAAGTTTTATTTCAAAGGTGAACTCTTCGTGTTAGCTCAGGTTAATTTATTCATACATTCATTCATTCTTTTATATATTTATTTAACATATATTTGCTAAGTATCTACTAAAAGCTGGAATGTGGCTGGCTGCGGTGGCTCAAGCCTGTAATTCCAGAACATTAGGAGGCCAAATCGTATTTTTCATAATCATATGGAATCACAGGCATGAGCCACCACACCTGGCTGCATCCCACCACCTTGGGAGGGATGCTGTAATCCCAGCACTTTTGGGAGGCCAGATTGCTGGGATTATCACATATTCCAATGCTAAGATACAGACATAACTTGAGCTCAGGAGTTCAAGACCAGCCTGGGCAACATAGCAAGACCCTGTCTCTACAAAAAAATACAAAAATTGGCCAAGCATGTTGGTGCACAGCTGTAGTCTCATTTACTTAGGAGGCTGAGGTGGAAGGATCACTTAGATTTGGGAGATCAGGGCTGCGTGAGCTGAGATCATGCCACTGCACTCCAGCCTGGGTGATAAGTGAGACCTTGTCTCAAAAAAAAAAAAAAAAAAAAAAAAAATTCTGGGATGCATAAATCTGGTAAACAATATAGAATGCCTCTGACTTCAAGAAGCTTATCATGTGAAAACAAAAAAAAACAATGAAAAATAATTAAAAAAAAAAGCTTGTCATGTGATGAGAATATGGACAAGTAAACAGGCAATCATGAAAAAAATTTCACATTAACATAGGGAAAGTATAGGAGTCTATTAGCCCTGCTGAAAGCAGTTTAGAGTAGGTCCCATCCAAAGAAAGATTTGATTATGGTTATAAATCAAGCAAGATTTATTATATCTTATGCATTTTTATTTATTGAATTTCATCATTTTATTCCAATAATAAGATACAGATTATAAAACTTCTATAATTTTTAATATTTACACATAATTACCTTTTGTTGTTTTCTACAAGAAATGCACAGATTTTGAAGTCTTTTGTATTGCATTATCGATAAAGCATTGCATCGTATTAATTTGGGGCTCTGTTATAAAGGGTAGTGACAGGAATATACGCAGATATCGATGCTATGATAAAATGTGCTCTTGTTGGGTTACATTAACCTTCCTTCAAAAGAGATTTCTGGGTAGTAGTTCTTACAGTCTTTAGGAAATTCATTAAATCAGTGCCTCCAGTTCCTTTGTTTTCCTGTTTCGAAGGCTCTTTGGAGGTCTCGTTCTTTGATTTCTGACTTGCAGGAATCAGGATGTACTTAGTTACAATTTGCAGATGGTAGTTCCTCAGATCGACCAAAGCTTTCACACAGGCATCATAAGCTTCCCGCAGGTCAGCATCACCTTTTAAAAGGACAAACTCACGGACTGAGGGATTGGACTCTAATGAGCACAGAAAGTTCCTGTGAGCTGGTGGCATATACATTCTCATGTCCTGGAGGAACTGAGCAGCAGATCCTATAGGAACAAGAGAAAGACGAGGAAATGTGAAGGTCACAGCATTCCCCAATCCAGTAGAGAAAGGCAGAGTCAGGTCAGAGTGGACAGGAGATCACCAACACAGCAGTCTCTGAGGTCAAGGTCATCTGACTTGAAGGATAATGTTTGGCTATTAGTCTTGCTACTATAGCAATCATAACTGTTGTAAAATATTATTAATTTTGAAAACTGGATGAACTAAATTCATTTTCCCACAATAAGTACTTTTGTTTGCACTTTCTTTTCTTTTCTTTCTTTTTTTATTTTTTTGAGACAGAGGATCGCTCTTGTTGCCCAGGCTGGAGTGCAATGGTGCAAGGTCCGCTCACCACAACTTCTACTTCCCCGGTTCAAGCAATTCTTCTGCCTCTGCCTCCTGAGTAGCTGGGATTACAGGCATGCGCCACCACGCCTGGCTAATTTTGTGTTTTTAGTAGAGACTGGGGTTTCTCCATGTTGGTTAGGCTGGTCTCGAACTCCTGACCTCAGGTGATCTGCCAGCATCAGCCTCCCAAAGTGCTGGCATTACAAGCGTGAACTACTGCGCCCAGCCTTCGTTTGCACTTTCTTCCTCACTTTTCTATTATAAGAAGCTGATGTTATAGACAAGGGCATATATAATCTACATTTGACATATCATGACTGAGTATTAAGAGAGTTTAAGAGACTGTGTTTAAATGAGTGTTCAGCAATAGCAAAGATATGGAATGAACCCAGGTTTGCATCAGTGGTGGATGGGACAAAGAAAATATGGTACATGTACACCATGGAATACTATGCAGCCATGAAAAAGAATGAAATTATGGGCTTTACAGCAACATGGATGCAGCTGGAGGCCATTAGCCTAAGCGAATTAATGCAGAAACAGCAAACCAAGTATCACATGTTCTTACTGATAAGTGGGAGCTAAATATTGAGTACACATGGACACAAAGATGGGAGCAACTGATATTAAGGATTTCAAATAGGGGAGGGGGGAGGAAAAACTACCTATCAGATACTATGTTCTATACTTGGGTGAGGGGATCATTAGAAGCCCAAACATCAGCATCACTCAATATACCTGTGTAATAAATCTGCACATGTATCCCCTGAATCTAAAATAAAAAATTGAATATGATAAAAAAATTAAAGTGCTCAAGTTAAGAAAAACCTGTTTGGGCCAGGTGCGGTGGCTCACAGCTGTGACCCCAGCACTTTGGGAGGCCGAGGTAGGTGGATCACGAGGTCAGGAGTTCAAGACCAGCCTGACCAACGTGGTGAAACCCTGTCTCTACTAAAAAGACAAAAATTAGCCAGGTGTGATGGTGTATGCCTATAATCCCAGCTACTCAGGAGGCTGAGGCAGAACAATCGCTTGAACCCGGGAAACAGAGGTTGTGGTGAGCTGAGATCATACCACTGCACTCTAGCCTGGGTGACAGAGCGAGACTCCATCTCAAAAAAGATAAGAAAAGAAAAATATATGTTTTTACACAGCCTGATGCTTTCCCTTTTGACTATTAAACAGTAGTTTAACAGAACAGAGAAAATTAGAAAGAAGTTCTTCTTGGAGCTTATTCCTCTCCTCCAGCCCTTAGAAGGCATATAATCAATGTGGCACATCTTTAAACATTGGTGCAGGCATTGCTCTGGGTGGCTGGGGCCACAAGACAGCTGAACAAGAGCAAGGCGCAGACCCTCCATGCCACTGAGGTCTTTAGCTCCCCTTAACAGCCCTGTCTCATTTGGTCAGACTGTCTCTGAGTCTGATCATACATTTTCTGAACATGTGATATTGACTTCACCAGAGTCAACCAGTCTTTACATACAAGTTCAGATATCAAGATGAAGCTTGGGTGTGAGGAAATCTCTGCCACTTTTTAAATTTTTTATTTTTATTTTGAGACAGAGTTTCACTCTTTCGCTGCTGGAGTGAAGTGGTGTAATCTCGGCTCACTGCAACCTCTGCCCACCGGGTTTAAGCGAGCCTCCTGAGTAGCTGGGATTACAGGCGGCACCACCACGCCCAGCTAATTTTTGTATTTTTAGTAGAGACGAGGTTTCACCGTGTAAGCCAGGCTGGTCTTGAACTCCTGACCTCAGGTTATCCATCTGCCTTGGCCTCCCAAAGTGCTAGGATTACAAGCTTGAGTCACTGCGCCCAGCCAGCTCTGCCACTTTCTAGCTGGTTCAGAAGGAACCAGTCACTGACCCTCATAAAGTTTATGCATCTTCATCTTTAAAATGGGATGATGGCAACCAAATCCCTACTTGCCTGATGCTGCTAAAACCATCAGATAAACTCAGATGAGATGCTGATGGGAAGGTGCTTTGTAGATATCCAAATACAATTGTGTTCACATAAGAAATGATTATTTCTTGTTATTTTCCACTCACCTCCACCGGCCCTCTGCGGGATGCCCAGGAGGACGTCAAAGCACTGGAAGATGCTGCTTTGGCCTGCACTGCCCCCTGAAAACTGCTTTGCGTCCTTCCAGAACCCGTCATACATCAGACCTTCTGATAGCTGGGGGTTGCCTTTCCAGCTGTCAGAGGAAAGAAAGAAAGAAAGAAAGAAAAATCATTCTTTAGATTAATTGCTAATTTTTTGATATCAGATCTTGCACTAACGGTGAATAAAAGGCGATGAGAGATGGGTTTCATGATCCTTCTTTCACGCCCCCTTCCCCCTGTTCATTTCCATGCATGAGAATAATAAGTAATATAATCCTGAGCAAATTTGGCATAAATATTCCAGGAATGGAACCTTACCTTGGTACCAGCACAGATCATTCCACTCTTTTTAAAATGACTAGCTTTCCTGTTTCCCCTCTTCTCCCCTCCCCCAGCCATCACACCCCGCTGTACATTCCCGGCCAAGTAATAACAGAGAGAATGGTCTAGTCTTTTTCTACCACATGAATTTTTGGATATAAATTGATAGCCAAACCCCATGGATATTAGGGATCATCCAAGGGAATTGGTGACGTCCTTTGTTAAGTGAGAGCAAACAAATTCAAAGGTAAGACTACATACCCAGACAAATAGATGCGAAGAACATTGAAAAATACTTGCGGGTTCACGTGCTCTGTGAAAAGATGGAATGTGTTTAATTAAGCAGCATAAGAGGTATACAGGGAAATCAAGATGTCGTGTACAACTGATAGTGGATTTCTGCAGAGGCTACAGGAAAGGCATTAGGTCAGTATGTGCAAAACAAAGCCCCTGCGCATAAATGTTCACTTTCCTGCCCTCTTCCATGCCGCCAGTTAAACTGTAAATATTTATTTAGCACTACTTTACGTGCTTACGGAGGCAACAGATAAACTGTTTACATCGAGAAAGAAACAAACCAAAGACAAAATACAGACCAAGCCAAAACAAAAACCCCGAAACTAGATCTATTTTAAAAATTTTAAAAAATTGTTTGGAGACAGGATCTCACTTCATCACTTAGGCTAGAATGTAATGACCAAAGCTCACTGCAGCCCCAACTCCTGGGCTCACGCAGTCTTCCCACCTCAGCCTCCCAAGTAGCTGAACTACAGGTATGAGCCACCACACTCAGCCTCCTACCCTACTTGATTTGAAAATCTAGCTTCTTGCCAAGGACCAAATAGCAATTACTCAAAACCCAGAAATAAACGATCAGATTGGTTGAATCTGCTCAGTAGGGCAGATTTCCTATAGCAAATTATTGCTTATGCACTTTTTTGTGTGTGTTCTTTTGGGGGTAGTTTTTTAGCTATTAATTTCACAACAAGTTTTCAGCTCAATGAAAAACTTATCCCCCCTCTACCGGCAGTACATACCTGGCCAAGTAATAACAGAGAGAACAGAAAGCTGGCTTTTCTGTGTTGTTTCTTAATTTGTGAAAAAGCAGAATTAGGAAAGAGTTCTTATCAAGCAGAAGCTGTTTTTTTCGGAACTCAGCCAGTTTTTATAAGGTTTTTAGTGGGCAGTAAGGAAGTTCCTTAAATAGACCAGCCTGGAACTCTGGATTCACTATTTACTGCCTGTGGAATCTGAAGTCATTTACCCTGTCTTTCTCAATTTAGATTACCTTACTTGTAAAATGGAGGTAATAAAACCTTCCACATAGAAAGTGTAATGGTTTAGTAAGATAAAATACCTAAAGCGAAAACATGCTAAGTGATAGTGATAGTTGCTTTTTGCTTCCCCTTTTCAACTGTTTTACACTTGGAACATTTGACTTGTCAGGCTAGACTGTGGCACGGCATACGACACTTGCCATGGATTTGGTTAAACACTTGAAGCGCTTTCTCCAGGCAAGAAGCTGTTTTCAACAGAGCCTTTCGCAAAGTGTCCAGTTCTTGCATTCGCATTGCCTTGAATATAATAGGAATTTCCTAAAAAAAAAACACACACACACAACAAACAAGCATTTAAGGTTTTCTAAAGCTAAACATTGACATAGTACAAAATTCTTCCATCGTTGTCTTTTTTTTTTTTTTTTCTTTTTAACAGAGTCTTGCTCTGCTGCCCAAGCTGGAGTGCAATGGCACGATCTCAGCTCACTTCAACCTCTGCTTCTTCAGGCTCAAGGCATTCTAAGGCATTCTTGTGCCTCAGCCTCCGAGTAGCTGGAATTTTACAGGTGCATGCCAATATGCCTGGCTAATTTTTATATTTTTAGCTAGAGACGGGGTTTCACCATGTTGGCCAGGCTGATCTCCAACTATTCACTTAAGTGAACTGCCCACCTCAGCCTCCCAAAGTGCTGGGATTATAGGTGTGAGCCACCATACCTGGGCAAATTCTCCGGTCTTAATCCATAAATTAAATTTGGGGTTTTTACATTTCTTTCCTGGGCTGGACACCCTATTTGACTAATTTCCTTATATTTCTAGAAGCTTGGATTTGTTATTATTCACATAGCGTTTAATTTAGTGATATTTATATAGTTGTATATGTTTCATTTCTATTTTTGATAATCAAAACTATTGAATTTATGACACTGTATATCATAGTTCCAAATCCAGATTTCATTGAAAATTTTTATTTCCTACAGAGGTTTCAAGTTGGACTTTAAGTAAATGGCTCTGAGATTTTATATTTTAGGTAATACACAAATATAAATAATTGATCCTCTATTCACAATTAAACGATCCCATGTTGTATTTGTTAAGGATAAAGTTAACTCATGCTTAGTATAGTTTAGGCTCCTAAGTGATTGCTCTGCTTAGGTAAATTGATGTATAAATTTTGAAGTGAGGATAGACATACTTTGATTGCAGAAGCAGCTTCTATTTCCACCAATAGAGAGACCAGGAAGAATCCTTTACTGCAGTCTTCATGACGAAATGAGAACAAAACATCCATGTTCCTAAGGAAATCAGATAAGGAAGGCAAGAAATTTAGCAAAAATGGTTTTCGACATTTTAATTTATTCTATTTTATTTTCAACAAAATTTTACGAGAGGTGTGGCAGGCCTTACTATCTCCATTATGTAGTTGAGAATATTAAGACTCAGTTGTTAGGCCCATTGTCTAAGATCATATAATTAATAGTAAATAGACTAAATTGAGACCTAAAATTTTGTATTAGAACTCAGAACTAGGGCTGGGCATCGTGGCTCACACCTGTAATCCCAGCACTTTGGGACACCGAGGTGGGTGGATCACCTGAGGTCGGGAGTTTGAGACCAGTTTGGCCAATGTGGTGAGACCCCATGTCTACTAAGAATACAAAAATTAGCTGGATATGGTGGTGGGCCCCACTAATCCCAGCTACACAGGAGGCTAAGGCAGGAGAATCAGTTGGACCCAGGAGGCAGAGGTTGCAATGAGCCAAGATTGCTCCATTGCATTCCAGCCTGGGCAACAACAGTAAGACTCCATCTCAAAAACAAAAAACAAAAAACACACAGACCTAGAAATTCTCAAACTAGTTCTGTTTCTATAATCCTGTTAACTTTTCACAGGCATTTATATTACCATACACATATACTCAATGTTTACAGAGATAACTGTGAGGTAGAATTTTCAGAGGTAATCTTTTGTTTAAGTAATTACATTCATATTCATATTTTAATTTGTGAGCCTAATTCCGTTTCTCAGTGGTATATCTACTTTACAAAGCCGTTGATTGTGAAATTCAAATAACTAATAAGACCCTGTTTTTCTCTTCAATTGAAGTTTTGACATTGGTGAAAACATGATCTTAGTATCTGTATATCTATGAGTTTTGTGGTGGTGAAATTCATGGTATCTGAAGCCAGACCACCTCTGCAACTTACTTGCTGTGTGACCTTGAGCAAGATACGACATCATCTGCCTTGGTGTTCTCATCTGTAAAATGGGACTGACTGCTAATATCACCCTCCTATTTAAAAGCCTTCCAGTTTCTCCCGTATCTTAAGATTCTGTTTTAATTTCTTATCATAGCTAATAAAATCCTACATAATCTTATTTTTTTTGAGACGGAGTCTTGCTCTGTCGCCCAGGCTGGAGTGCAATGGTACATCTTGGCTCACTGCCACCTCTGCCTTCCGAGTTCAAGCGATTCTCCTGCCTCAGCCTCCTGAGTAGCTGGGATTACAGGTGTGTGCCACCATGTTCCGCTAATTTTGTATTTTTAGTAGAGGAGGGGTTTCGCCATGTTGGCCAGGCTGGTCTCGAACGCCTGGCCTCAGGTGATCCAGCCGCCTCAGCCTCCCACAGTGCTGGGATTATAGAAATGAGCCACTGCGCCCAGCCATCTTTTAAAAAAAATTGTTAATTCTTTTCTCACACTGTTATTTTTATTATTTATTATCAGTAACATTAGCCATCTTTCAGCTTTGATAATGCACCAAGATATTTGACATTGAAGGTCTCATTTTTGTTGTTTCTTCTGCTATGAATACCAGTACCTTTTTCCTCCAGCTAATTCCTAACTCACTCTTCAGGACTCAAATAACTTGCTTCAAGGGTTCCCCCATTACCCGCTTTATTTGGTTGGGAATCCCAATACTTTATCTTCTTACACCTTCTCTTAGTCATATAGCAGTTTACACAATTTTATATACTGCCTTTCCTCTCTGTTAGTCTAGCTTCACCAAGGCGGGTTTATACTGATGACATTTGCCTTAGTTTTCCCATCTCTTAGCCAATGTTTAGTATATATTATAGGTCAGAAGTAGTAAGGATTGGCTCAAAAAGAAATTAGCATATGGTTACTTATGGACACTGATAACTAGTTATGGACTAGGAGTTATTAAGTCATAGATACATAGTTGTATGTGAATTTTGTATGTTTGCATAATAATCTTCTATATATGTATTTGGGTAGCATTCTTGTATATATCTATAGCTGTAATATCAAATAGACATAGTTGTAACACAATCATAGATATAATTAAAGACAGATTGTTTGTTCTCTAAATAATCACTTAATTATTTTTTGCCTGAATTCAGTTAATCATATAAAAAATGTTTGGCTTTATTGATAAGCCTACATTCAAGTATAAATAACAAATAATTCTTAGAATAAAACAAGAATCAGATACTTACTCATAAGTCAGGGGCCTTATGAAAGCAGCCATGAAGCAATGCGCAAATTGGAAGAGAGAAAGAAAATCAACTTAACATCAAATAATGATGAGTTGTTGTTATTTGATTGACTACTACTGATCTATCAGTGGTAAGACATAGACAGGTAAAAAGAAAAACTTTTAAAAAATATTTCTTCAGTAGGCATTACAAACATTTAACTTAATAACTTACAAATGAATTAAATAATTAAATATGCAAAGAACTCACATGGACAGTCAAAACTAATTGTTTTATTTATTTATTTTTTTTGAGACAGGGTCTCCCTCTGTGGCCCAGGCTGGAGCGCAGTAGCGTGAACCTGGCTCACTGAAGCCTCAGCTTCTTGGGCTCAAGAGATCCTGCTATCTTAACCCACTGTGTAGTTGGGACCACAGGCATATGCCATCATTCCTGGCTTTTTTTTTTTTTTAACTAATTGTTAATAAGAAACTTGATAGCTCAAGTTCTTTCATTTTGTGATAATCCCATTTGCAGAATATTCTTCTGCCAGCACATGCTCAGAGGCATGGTCTGTGATTCCCCCTTCCCTTTATTGTAGCAGATCTCATGCCTAAATGGGTAAAAATGGCCTGCCTCCTGAGCAGACTGCTCTGAAAAACCAGTCATTGCTGCCTGTTGTTAAAGATGTGTCGACTCTTAACCACAAATGGCTTCTTAAAAATTAAACGGATGGAATCTCAAAAACCTGCTAATCAAAAGAAGCCAGACACAAGACTCTATACTCCATGGTTTCATTGATATGAAACCCAATAACAAAACTAATTTAAGTTTTGATAAAGCAAATAAGAATATATTTGTCTGTGGCAGGAAAGGGAATTGAAAGAGGCACAAAGAAATTTTCTGAGATGATAAAAAATATTCTATATCTTGCTGAGAGTGGTGGGTATACGTATGTATACAATAGTCAAATTCAAGCTGACCACTTAAGATTTGTGCATTTTGCTGTGTTAACTATACACCTCTCACATATGTGTACATTTGTAGTGGTAGACACAGCAGTCCAAGAAACCATACCCAGCAACAGAGGGGAAAACTGTGCTGCCCAAAATTAAGCCAATAAGTAACGCCTGTTTTATTTAGTTGGCATGTACTCCAAAATTCCTGTTGTTATCACCATTTACATACTTGTTAGGATCCTTTTTCTTCCAGTTTGCCAAGACACAGTCTGCATAAACCAGAATAGGAGGCAGCTGCAGCTTCTCGGAGAGTTGGCAGTAGGGAACAGCAATATTTTTTGGCAGGACCTGATTAAAATACAGTGGTTAGTTTTTTGTTTTGTTTTGTTTTGTTTTTTTTTTGTTTTGAGATGGACTCTTGCTCTTGTCACCCAAGCTGGAGTGCAGTGGTGGGATCTCAGCTCACTGCAATCTCCACCTCCCGGATTCAAGTGATTCTCCCTCGTTCAAGTGACTCTCCCACCTCAGCCTCCCAAGTAGCTAGGATTACAGGTGCCTGCTACCACACCCAGCTATTTATTGTATTTTAGTAGAGATGAGGTTTCGTCATGTTAGCCAGGCTGGTCTTGAACTCGACCTCAGGTGACCCATCCGCCTCAGCCTCTCAAAGTGCTGGGATTATAGGCGTAAGCCACCTCGTCCAGTCAGTAGTTATTTTAATCATTTACCTCTTGTACCTTTTCTTTTGCTTTCTGTGTTCTATAAAATGACACTTCGAAACCAGACAAATGTAATTTTTTTTCCCTTTCCCTTTTCCTAATTTAAATCGTTAGAGTTTTGTGTTTTAGATTAGAGAAGTAAAAGAGGTAGAAAGCCAGAGAAACAAAGCCTGAATCTTGGTGTTTCTAATGGCCTTGGGACCTATTTCCGGTCATTCATTTATCCATCCTTCCCATGAATAATTGTTAAGCAATTTTTTCAGTGCTAGATGCCACATTATCAGCTGCCAATAGAAAGATAAAAACAATCGCCTCGAAGATGCTTGAAGTCTTTGTAATTTTAAATATGATACATACTATGAGTATAAACAGATTGCTGCTCTTGGAGCACCGTGTTGAAAGACATTTTCTGCTCGACTATATTATTATTATCTGAAATCTTCACCATGGAGTGACATTGGTGCTCGGCTTCCAAACCTAGCTTCTTTCTGCTGGAAGAAGGTCTCTCCTTTCCTCTTGCTTTATATTTCCATGTGGAGATACATCAGTTGGGATGACACTTGTCAGTGATCTCACTCACCCTTCCTAGGGGACTTATAGAAGCTGATCTGTTTGTTGAGTTTGGTAGAGAAACTACAGCTCTGCCCCTTTTTCTCCTCAGCTCTTCTTTCCCTGACCTGAGCCTGTGACTTGTAGCATTCCACTCTGTTTAGACACACAGTGGAAGGCTCCTACATAAAACACCAACTACTTTTGATTAAAAAAAAAAAAAAGCTTTCATTAAATGGTAGAAGCTGCCTCTGGAATCTATTTTATCCGTGTGTGTGTGTGTGTGTGTGTGTGTGTGTGTGGTGTTTAATGGATACAGAGTCTTGCTCTGTTGCCCAGGCTGGAGTGCAGTGGCATGATTCGAGCCCAGCTCACTGTAACCTCTGCCTCCCAGGTTTAAGTCTCCCAAGGAGCTGGGATTACAGGCACACGCTGGCATATCTGGCTAATTTTTGTATTTTTAGTAGAGATAGGGCTTCACCATGTTGGCCAGACTGGTCTTGAACTCCTGCCTCGGTCTCCCAAAGTGTAGGGATTACAGGGGAGAGCCACTGCGCCTGGCCCATTTGTGTTTTAAAGGTTAGATATTGTAGTCCGTATTAGTTTTATGTAATTAGGGTTGACAGTTAAAATACAGGATGAAAAATAAAGTAAAAGACTAAAAATATAATAATAATAACAGTTGACATGTCAAACCAGGGTATATTTTCTTTTTCATTTTGTTGTGTCATCTAAACTTTGCACAATGCAGTTCCAAATGCTTTTAGAAAATTTTTGTAAAGTTAAAGGTAAATTAGATGAAAATCTGTCACACAGCATAAGAAATCTGAGAAAATCTCCATACCTTCCGGACATCTCCACAACCTCGATCCCACACATATGCCATGGTGATGCATCCCAGAACTAGATGTGCAAGGCGCTGTGACTTGTGGTCTCTGAGATGATCAATGCTAAGCATGTCCAACTGAGAAAAAATAAAGCAAATCGCTCAAATCAATCTCAGTAATGTTTCATGCTTCAAAACCAAGTTAACGATGTTAAGACGCTGTATAAGAAGACAAATGTGATACATATTTCAAACCTTCTCAACTCTTTCTCGAAGTTCGCCAGACTCAATGAGATCAGGCAGGTGTTTAGCAATGGACATCCAGTCATTATAAACATCAGGTAGGTTTTCCTTTAAAAAAAGAAAAAAAAATCTTTATTTACGAGTAGCAGTTACTGTAGCTTCGGCTTCCCACTGATGGTCTGCCTTGCCTCCACATCCATTTTGTGCCATGTTGCCCTGGCACATGGCTTACCTGTCTGGAAATACCAGCCTCCGTCTTGTTACCAGCACATGCAAGGCTGAAGACCTTCTCGGGGTTCTACCTCTTCCTCTCTCTTCAAACACTACCATTTGCAGCTTTTCAAAGTTCACCTCAAAGGTTCCATTAAAATCCTCCTAACGAATCTATCTGACACTAATCTCCTCCATTATAAGTTCTACAGATTATGCCTTTTCATGTTGCTAAACAATTATGATCTAATACTTTGATTTATCTTTCTTTCTTTCTTTTTCTTTTTCTTTTCTTTTTTTTTTTTTTTTCTTTTTTTTTTTTTTTTTTGAGATGCAGTCTTACTCTGCTGCCCAGAGTGGAGTGCAGAAGTGCAGTGGCATGTTCTTGGCTCACTACAACCTCTGCCTCCTGGATTCAAGCAATTCTCCTGCTTCAGCCTCCTGAGTAGCTGGAATTACAGGCATGTGCCACCACGTCCAGCTAATTTTTTATTTTTAGTAAAGATGGGATTTTGCCATGTTGGCCAAGCTGGTCTCGAACTCCTGACCTCAGGTGATTTGCCTGCCTTGGCGTCCCAAAGTGCTGGGATTTGTAATTTGCCTGCCTCGGCATCCCAAAGGGCTGGGATGTGAGCCACCGTGCCTTGCCTACTTTGGTTTTTCTTGGCTAGATTTTAAGTTTTTTGAATGGAAGAAAAATTAGATGGGTTAAATGTCAATAGTGGATTCTGTGCAATAATTTCATATATATATATATAATATATATATATATATTTAATTCTTGTAATGACCCAAGAAGGTATCTCTGTATCATAAATAAGGAAAACTAGACTTAGACAGTTTACATAATAAGTTTTGTATATTAAGTTTATTGTCAAGTTTCCAACTTTGAAAATCTATTCCCTTTTTATATTTTACTACATGATGGCAAGGATTGTATTGTACATTTAATTTCTATCTCTTATAAGCCCTGGCGTAGTGCTGGGCATATAGTGGGTGCTGTATGTATACATGTTGATAGCTACTTTGTTTCCACTATAGGCTTGTTTTTGCCCACTAAGTAGAAATCAAACCCAAATAAAAGTTTCTTCCAGGATCTTATCATATTTATAATCTCATCTCAAACGGAAGTATCCAAATAAAAAGACTTAGGAATGTTACTGTAGTATAGATCTCTGTTTCTATGCCTACTCCACCAGCTATTTTCAAGGCACGCCCTTAAGGTAATCAATGCTGAACCATGGGGATTAAGTATAAATGGAAAGATTAACTCAAATCAACATGGGTGAAGTTTTAAGCTTCAAAATAATATTATAAGTAAGCTATAAAGCAAGAAGATAAAGATAATATAAAATCCTAACATGTTCAACATCCGTATGTAATTGTCCAGGCTTAATCAGTTGGGGCAGATTTTTAGCAGTGAAAATCTAGGCAGTGTACTTAACTAGACAGCCGCCTTTCTTCTTCTGAACTTTTCACGCAACTGTGCTGTAGTGATTTCAGAAGTAAATGTAGGCTGGGCGCCATTTCTCAAGTCTGTAATCCTAGCACTTTGGGAGGTGGAGGTAGGTAGATCACCTGAGTTCGGGAGTTCGAGACCAGCCTGACCAACATGGAGAAACCCCTTCTTTACTAAAAATACAAAATTAGCTGGGCGTGGTGTGCACATCTGTAATCCCAGCTACCTGGGAGGCTGAAACAGAAGAATCACTTGAACCCGGGAGGCAGAGGTTGCCATGAGCCAAGATCGTGTCATTGCACTCCAGCCTGGGCAACATGAGCAAAACTCCATCTCAAAAAAAAAAAAAAAAAGAAAGGAAAAAAAAGAAGGAAATGTAGTAAATATATTTTTGTTGTTATTATTCTGTGCTTCACTGTGTAGCACATCTTATTTTTTTGGTTACTGTGATTTTCCCCAAATAACAGAAATACTTTTTTGTTCTGTACTATGATTAGCATTGTATTTGATAGCACTTTTGACATGTGTAAAATTTAATCAGTAATATGCTCTGGTTCAGAGAATCTCTAAAAGGTATAATATAAATTAATAAAAATCATACTGAAGTTCATTCAAATTCTGCTACATTAGAGAATGTGCCTTGTATCTATATGGAATCAGAAAACATATGATTTTCCTTTGCAATAAGAAGCAAATAAATTGTGAGAGAGAAAATAGACACTTTTTTGGTTCATAATTTCTAGGAAAGCTCTTCAGTGAAGAAATAAAAGGTACCACTAATTATTTTTTTCATGTTTCAGGGACAGCGAATGCAGCTTCTTCAGCATCTCAGCTAGCCAAATTATTATTATTATATTGAGAAAAGGCTTCACTCTGTCACCCAGGCTGGAGTGCAGTGGCGTGATCTCAGTTCATTGTAACATCTGCATCCTGGGTTCAAACACTTCTCTTACCTTAGCCTCCCGAGTAGTTGGGACTAAAGGTGAATCAACACGCCAGCTAATTTTTGTTGTATTTTTAGTAGAGATGGGGTTTCACCATGTTGGCCAGGCTGGCCTCAAACTCCTGACTTCAAGTGATCCACCCACCTTAGTCTCCCAAAGTGCTGGGATTGCAAGTGTAAGCCACTGTGCCTAGTCAGTATTATTATTTCTGAAACAGAGTCTCACTTCTGTTGCCCAAACTGAAGTGTAGTGGCGTAATCTCAGCTCACTGAAACCTCTGCTTCTTGAGTTCAAGCAATTCTCCTGCCTCAGCATCCTGAGTAGCTAGGATTGCAAGTGTGTGCCACCATACCTGGCTAATTTTTGTATTTTAGTAGAGACAGGGTTTCACCATGTGGGCCAGACTGGTCTCGAACTCCTGACCTCATGATCCCACCTTGACCTCCCAAAACGCTGGGATTACAGGCCTGAGCAACTGCTGCCTGGCCAAGAATCATGTTTTTAAGTAGCCAAAGAAGAGTTTTGTTTATTTTCTTTTGGGGTTTTGCTTTACCCTTTGCAATCTGTTCTACAAGTATTCATAATGATCACAGTTGTTGTATTTTTAAGGAGAACCAAATCTCTGAGAAAAAAACAAACCATGATTAGTAGTTTCTGAAAAAGATGGTTTTATTGTACTATTGGTAAGTACATCCTTGAAACCATCCAGTCCTGGCATTTTTGTGGGCATGCGGACAAGTAGCAAGTTTGAGTATTATTGATTTGTGTGAATAAAGCTAACTTACGCTTTTGGCAATAAAATTAAAGCATATTCTTCATTTTCTTAAATTAACAGTCTGAAGAGGAAAATTAGATTGCAAGGAGGTAGATGCTTTAAATTTGCCAATATCACCAAAGTATTTGCAGTTACTTTATTTATCAGCACGGTTAGGTTGGAATCTCTGACTAAACATTTGCTGCATTTAAAGGTGCTCTCCAGTATATGTGGACTATAACTGTTTGAGCTACAATAAAAAATATACTTGCCTACAGAATTACTATAACACTTCATAGAAATCTTTTCCTGAAATCCCATGTATCTTGTTAAACTGAAGATTGAAAGAAATTAAAAAAAAAAAATCAATGCCTTATTATCTCTTCTTAAGAGAGGCAGTGTGGCATAATGGTTTAAAGATCCTGAACTCCAGAGCCAGACTGCTTAGGCTCATACTGGCCTCTAGTACTTGCTAGCTACATGGTTGGATAATCACTTAAATTCTGCATTCCTTATACTTCTCGTTAGGAGCATGAGAATAATAACACACATACCTGGCTGGGTACAGTGGCTCTCACCTATAATTCCAGCACTTTGGGGGCTGAGGCAGGTGGATCACCTGAGGTCAGGAGTTCGAGACCAGCCTGGACAACATGGTAAAACCCTGCTTCTGCTAAAAATACAAAAAGTAACCAGGTGTGCTGGCAGATGTCTATAATCCCAGCCACTTGTGAGGCTGAGGCAGGAGAATTGCTTGAACCTGGGGGCGGAGATGGCAGTGAGCCGAGATCGTGCCACTGCAATCTAGCCTGGGTGACAGAGTGAGACTCCATCTCAATAAATGAACAAATAAATAAATAACAAACCTTTGGGGATGGCTATGAGAATGGAAAGGGTTAATTTGTAAATTGCTTAGAAAATGCTGTATTTGATGATTAAAATATTGATGATAAATTGATCTGCATAGCATTTATTAGAAGACAGAATAGAAAATGCAGTTTCTAAGGCAAACCTTTTTTCCACATACCTTGCACTTTATAGGTAAAACTTGCCAACAAGAAAAAAGGTAGTTCAGACTCTCACTTGAATCTTATGCTCAGTAAATAACAAGCAATGATAATAGAACGTGGAAAGAATTTGTTGTGCAATCTCATAAACCCCATCAAATTGGAAACACATGTTTTGTAAAATTTAAGGTATATCCCTAAAGAAAGGGATTTCTCTTTGACTCATAGCCAATTTAAAACTTTGGCTATTTCAAAACACTCTTTCAAAATACAACTGTAATAACCTCACATTGGATTTTACTGTGTGATTCTTATGTAAAGCTGATACATTTTCTATAGTTTCCTTATCTCATCACTCTACATACCCATGCTAAATAAGTAGAAAATGCATAGACGACTCCATTTCTAGGGAGAAAATTTAAAACAAATTAAGTGAGATGCAATTATTACAACTCTCTCTCATTTTTACACTGCTTTATGTGTTTGTTTACTAGAAGTTACTGAACCACAGTTGTTTAGTAGAAGTTAACTGGCCAGGTAACTAATGAGAAGAAGGATGCATTTCCCCACGTCAGTGACTTCTCTTACCAATGGATTTGGCAGAGCGAAGCCCACTTCTCCATCAATATGATACTCTTCACTGATAGTGCAGAAATTTTCCATAGCATGTGCCATTCTTCTAGTCTGCTGCTCTGGTGCTCCTTGGAGTCTGAAGAGTTTTCAGGGCATCTGTTTAGTATAGCTGTTGCCATAACCAACAACCACAATTTATAACAGAGGCAGTGAGTAATTACTTCCACTTTTGGAATGCTTTCATTTTCGAGTTTCTTCACTTGGAATATGAGAAACGATCAAACCACAAAAGCATCTTTGTACATCATATGCTGAAACTGAAAGTTCATATTCCATGTCAAAGTTATCATTAAGCATATCATTTTCTTACTGCCATATGAGAAGCCAGAAAGACCTGATGGAAAACAGAACTATGAAAACAGGTGGCTGGAGAAGAACATTTTACTTAACAGAAACTTGTAAATCTTTGAATGAGAAGGCTGCAGTCCTAAACTCTCATTCACTTATTTCTTATTGGCTTTCTTCTAGGTTTCCATGGTTCTTTGAAAATATCATGCCATGTTTCAGCAGCCTGGAAACATAGCCTGTGATACACTGAACTGTTGGTCAGTGGCTCTGAAGTAAGAAAGAAATAGAAGCACATGAAAAATTAGATAGTAGCTCTCCACTTCCCTATTTTTCCTACCTAGACTTTTGTTGGTTTTTCCAATAATAGCTTTTGCTCTTCTCACATTTCTGGTCGGTACCTTTTAGGAAGATTGCCTTGCATCTAACTGTACCCGACTGCCAGGAACTGATAAGGCAACAGTCTGACATATTTGGGTACTTTGTAATATGTCAAAAGTTGGAGAAAAGGATAAAATACCTTGAAAATGTTTCTTTCAAAGTACGAATTAAGACCGCATTTGGTAAAGGTTTACAATTTTCGTGCAAGTATATGGCTACTTTAAAGACATCATCCGATCTTAGTGAGAACACGGAAGCTAAAGCAGAAACACCCGTTCCTCTAGAAGATCATCAAAAGGAGGAAAGAAAAATAGTTCCTGTAGTAAATTAAAAGACAATGCTGTTTCGTCATCAGTTTGTTAGTACTTGAAATAAATTACATTGTGATAGCACATGGCTTTGGTTAAAGTCTAGAAAGCTCTCAGGCTATTCTCTACTACATGACAGCTGTTTCTTTCAACATGTAGCTTTACAGGAAAATGTTCTTTGGATAGGAAATGTGAGGTAAACCAAAACAGAAATTATACAGCAAACGGAACACAGTGACTGTGTTTTTATTAAATACATGACTCATGAGCCTAACAGTTTGAGAATCAGTTCAAGGAAAACCAAAAATAAAAAATCATGCAGACCTATCATATCTACATAGAAGACAAAAATACCAATAAAATACTGAGCATTAGAAAATGTGTGGTTATTCCTAAGACTTTTCATTCTTTGTACTTGAAGTTTTTATGGATAAGTCAAAGTGAAGACACAGAACAAAGTTTTAGATGATTCTATCCCAGGATTAAATTTTTAAGAAGCATGGTTTGATAAAGCTTTTTCTAGTTTCTGTATGTCGGATCATATCACTAAATCTAATCCTACCCTTGGGCTGGGTGCGGTGACTCAGGCCTGTAGTTCCAGCACCTTGGGAGGCCGAGGCAGGTGGATCACTTGAGGTCAGGGGCTGAAGAACAGCCTGGGCAACATGGTGAAACCCAGTTTCTACTAAAAATACAAACATTAGCCAGGTGTGGTGACACATGCCTGTAATTCCAGCTACTCAGGAGGCTGAGGCAGGAGAGTTGCTTGAGCCCGGGAGGCGGAGGTTGTAGTGAGCCTAGATCATGCCATTGCACTGCAGCCTGCGCAATAGCAGGGGATTCCACCCTTCCCCCACCAAAAAAAAAAAAAATATGCCAAGCGTGGTGGCTCATGCCTGTAATCCCAGGACTTTGAGAGGTTGAGCTGGGTGGATCATGAGATCAGGAGTTCAAGACCAGCCTGGCTAACATAGTAAAACTCTACCAAAAATACAAAACTTAGCCAGGTGTGGTGGCACACACCTGTAATCCTAGCTATTCAGGAGGCTGAGGCAGGAGAATCACTTGAAACAGGGAGGCGGAGTTTGCAGTGAGCCAAGATCGTGCCACCGCACTTCAGCCTGGGTGACAGAGCAAGACTCTGTCTCAAGAAAAAAAAATCTATCCTACCCTCGACTGCAGAACCAATAATACTTTAGTGCCTTAGATTTTTCCCTATCCGCTTAACCTCCTCATAATTTGGCTTCTTTTATATTTCTGAAACTACATTCTCCATTGATCTTATCTTCATTCACCTTGATTTTCTTCAGCCATAACTCACCTCCCTAAAAACCTAATTTCACATATTTTTAGAAGAGCATCTTAATTTTATGATCTCATACTGATTCTTCATCTTTCCTTTTAGCTTTTTACCAGTGATCAGGTCATTATGTTAGAAAAAACTCCTGAAAACCAGAACTCAACCTTTTGCTCTATAACCTCCTACATCTGAGACTTCATGTGACTCTGTCTCCCTTGTATATATCTTTCTTTGATAGCTTACATTATTTCTTTCTCTATAATTATTGTATTGCCTGACTTATCTTCACAGCTATAGACTACATTTCCATCTGCCTGGTGAACATCTCTACCTGAAAATCCTGTTATCCCATGTCATAAGGGACTTCACTGACATGTGGACTATTATGACAGGCTCTGCAGAGGAACTTTTATTCAAGGCCTTGATAAATATAAATTCTTAATAGAGCATCTTTTCTTTTTTTTTAATTTGACTTTAAGTTCTGGGGTACATGTGCAGATCTTGCACGATTGTTACATGGATATATACATGTCATGGTGTTTTGCTGCCTCTGTCCCCACATCACCTACATTAGGTTTCTCCTAATATTATCCCGCCCCAATCTCCCCTAGCCCCCTACCCCCTAACAGACCTCAGTGTGTGATGTTCACCTCCATGTGTCCATGTGTTCTCATTGTTCAACACCCAATTATGAGTGAGAACATGTGGTGTTTGATTTTCTGTTCTTGTGTCAGTTTGCTGAGAGTGATGGTTTCCAGATTCATCCATGTCCCTGCAAAGGACATTAACTCATCCTTTTTTATGGCATAGTATACCATGGTGTATATGTGCCATTTTTTTTTATCCAGTCCATCACTGATGAACATTTGAGTTGGTTCCAAATCTTTGCTATTGTAAACAGTGCCACAATGAACATACATGTGCGTGTGTCTGTGTTATATAACAATTTATAATCCTTTGGGTGTATACCCAGTAATGGGATTGCTGGATCAAATGGTATTTCTATTTCTAGATCTTTGAGGAATCACCACCCTGTCTTCCATAATGGTTAAACTAATTTACACTCCCACCAACAGTGAAAAAGCATTCCTATTTCTCCACATTCCCTCTAGCATCTGTTGCCTCCAGATTTTTTAATGACTGTCATTCTAACTGGCTTGAGATGGTATCTCAATGCGGTTTTCATTTGCAATTCTCCAGTCACCAGTGATGATGAGCATTTTTTCATGTTTGTTGGCAACATAAATGTCTTCTTTTGAAAAGTGTCTGTTTATATCCTTTGCCCACTTTTTGATGGGTTTGCTTTTTTCTTATGTATTTGCTTTAGTTCTTTGTAGAGTCTGCATATTAGCCCTTTGTCAGATGTGTAGATTGCAAAAACTTTTTCCCATTCTGTTGATTGCCAGTTCACTCTAATGATAGTTTCTTTTGCTGTGCAGAAGCTCTTAAGTTTAATTAGATCCCATTTGTCTATTTTGGCTTTTGTTGCCATTGCTTTTGGTGTTTTAGTCATGAAGACCTTAGCCATCCCTGTGTCCTAAATGGTATTACACAGGTTTTCTTCTAGGGTTTTTATAGTCTTAGGTCCTATGTTTAAATCTTTAATCCATCTGGAGTTAATTTTTGTGTAAGGTGTAAGGAAGGGGTCCAGTTTCAGCTTTCTGCACATGGCTAGCCAGTTTTCCCAATACCGTTTATTAAACAGGGGATTCCATCCTCATTGTCAGGTTTGTCAAAGATCAGATGGTTGTAGGTGTGTTGCATTACTTCCAAGGCCTTTGTTCTGTTCCATTGGTGGATATCTGTTTTGGTATAAGTACCGTGCTGCTTTGATTACTGTAGCCTTGTAGTATAGTTTGAACTCAGGTATACTGGCCTCCAGCTTTGTTCTTTTTGCTCAGAATTGTCTTGGCTATGCAGGCTTTTTTTTGGTTCCATAAGGAGTTTAAGGTGGTTTTTCTCCAGTTCTGTGAAGAAGGTCAATGGTAGCTTGATGGGGATAGTATTGAACCCATAAATTACTTTGGGCAGTATGGCCATTTTCATGATATTGATTCTTCCTAACCATGAGCATGGAATGTTTTTCCATCTGTTTGTGTCCTCTCTTATTTTCTTAAGCAGTGGCTTGCAGTTCTCCTTGAAAAGGTCCTTCACATCCCTTGTTAGTTGTATTCCTAGGTATTTTATTCTCTTTGTAGCAATTGTGAATGGGAGTTCACTCATGATTTGGCTCTCTGTTTGTCTGTTATTGATTTATAGAAATGCTTGTTATTTCTGTGCATTGATTTTGTATCCTGAGACTTTGCTGAAGTTGCTTATCAGCTTAAGGAGATTTTGGGCCCGAGACGATGGGGTCTTCTAAATATACAATCATGTTGTCTGCAAATAGAGACAATTTGACTTCCTCTTTTCTTAACTGAATACACTTTATTTCCTTTTCTTGCCTGATTGCTCTGGCTAGAACTTCCAATTGTCTACTGCTAGATTTCAAAGGGAATGCTTCCAGTTTTTGCCCATTCAGTATGATATTGGCTGTAGGCTTGTCATAAACAGCTTTTATTATTTTGAGATACATTCCTTCAATACCTAGTTTATTGAGAGTTTTTACCATAAAGCGCTGTTGAATTTTGTCAAAGGCCTTCTCTGCATCTATTGAGATAATCATGTGGTTTTTGTCTTTGGTTCTGTTTATGTGGTGGATTCCGTTTATAAACTTGCATATGTTGAATCAGCCTTTCATCCTCAGGATGAAGCTTACTTCATCATGATGGATAAGCTTTTTCATGTGCTGTTGCAATGGATTTGCCAGTATTTTATTGAATATTTTTGCATCTATGGTCATCATGAATATTGCCCTGAAGTTTTCTTTTTTTGTTGAGTCTCTGCTGGGTTTTGGTATCAGGATGATGCTGGTCTCATAAAATGATTTGGGAAGGATTCCCTCTTTTTGTATTGTTTGGAATAATTTCAGAAGGAATGGAACCAGCTCCTCCTTGTATGTTTGGTAGAATTAGGCTTTAAACCCGTCTGGGCCTGGACTTTTTTGGGTTGGTAAACTATTAATTGCTGCCTCAACTTCAGCCCTTGTTATTGGTCTGCTCAAGGTTTTAACTTCTTCCTGGTTTAGTCTTGGGAGGGTGCAAGTGTCCAGGAATTTATCCATTTCTTTCAGATTTACTGGTTTATGTGCATAGAGTTGTTTGTAGTAACCTCTGATGGTAGTTTGTATTTCTGTGGAATCAGTGGTGATATCCCCTTTATTATTTTTTATTGCATCTATTCTATTCTTCTCTCTCTTCTTTTTTATTAGTCTGGCTAGCAGTCTATCTATTTAGTTGATCTTATCAAAAAATAAGCTCCTGGATTTATTGATTTTTTGAAGGGTGTGTGTGTATG